GAAGCTTATAATTTCCTATTTACATTAATATTTATAGGTTGTCCTAAATACGATCGCAGCTCTGTTTAGGAGTAACCTTAATTGTTAGTGTGTTATATTTAAAATATGTCACATAATACAAATTAAACGTATTTATTCTAGCTACTATGTTGTCCCCTGTGGTTTATAAGTATTGAAGTGCCATAATTCTACACGTTTGGCCACAGATATACTATGGTCTCACAGAAAGGTGGCGTTAAACAACGTTTGCATTGTTTTCCGCCGTGAGAGAGAGGTTGCCGCAAACTCAATCCAGTTCCGTCCAAACCCCCAATTCTTAATAATCCCCAATAGCCTAGCAAAGCACTTTTAACTAATCTGGCTGCCGCAGTAAGAGACACTTAGGGCGTCGGGAATCGCGTGACAATCTCCAGTCATCGCACGTCGTATGACGGAAAGCGTTTGCGCACGCCTTAAAGAGCCGTCAGACATCCACAGTTGGGTCCAATAGGAACCCAAAAAGCCTAGCCTAAAAGTGTTTTACTTTTAACTAATCTGGACGCCTTATCCGCCGCAGTAAGAGACACTTAGGGCGTCGGGAATCGCGCGACAATCTCCAGTCTTATAACGGAAAGCGTTCCGCGCACGCCTTAATGCCTGCTTTACCGGATTAATAATGTGCTGCTGACCCAGTCTGGATCAAAAGATTTTTTTTTAGTTTGCATTCGTCGTATGTCGCGTCAATTAATGACTTTCCCAACTAAAAAATACTTCTATCGTGCTGCGGGTGTTGAAGGACAATGCTATCACTTAGGTACCATCAGATGATCCGTCAGCTCGTTAACTGATTTATTCCATAAAAGAAATCTTTTCTTCTTATTCTGACTCCGTTTTCAAACTGAACAATGTGAACTAAACAATTATTAAAATAGTTATTCTATGTTTAATACAGATTATCATTGTAATTAAACTTTTCAATCTAATACACTTCTGGGAGGCCAAAAATAAAAAGTTATTCTGGTTGCCTATTACCGGTAATTCAAGTTTGAATAATTCGAGCCGCTCATTGAAATACGATAGAAAAGTGGTAGTCGCCAAAACGCGATACAATATCAATGAAATCAAATGATCGGATACGACCGCTTAAAATTAACATCTGTAAAAACCGTTATCATTTAAAACAATCGTAAAATTTACCACAAGTATGCTCTGCAGACATGTTTATTACACTTCTATTCAGACTTCAGTACCTTATATGACTATGAAGTTTAATGGTATCTCTCCAGCATACATTTAAAACATCTTCTGTAACTGCATAGTCTAGACGTGTATGGCTATTTTTGTCCCTCCCCCAAAACGTCACACCCCTAACATATCTCCCGGGCCCCCCGACTTAGTGACGTCATTCGTGTGACGTGTTGTGTTCTGGTCGCTTTGTTTAAAACTGTCTCTAAATGAATTGGAAAGGGACTCAAGTGATGGAATGTTCTAGAATGAAGACAATGTATTCCTTTGTTTTGGAGGAGTATTATGAACAAATTACTTGAAAGGTTAACGCGTAGATTAGTCGATTGCTTAGCTGGAAATTATTCAAATGGAAACATGAAGTTCGTTTAATGTAGATACACCTAACAAAAGCACGTTATAAGATAGAATAGAAAGAAAGAAGAAAGAAAAAACATTTATTTGAGACTCGCACAGAAAATAAATACAATTACATTTTATATATACAAAAAGAAAAAACAAACAAAAATAAACAAAACAACAACAAAAAAATAAAAAGACCTGTGCGAGGTCAAAAGGCCAATATCTCAGCATATGCTGCGATAATTATAAAAACTTCAGCAATATTTAAGTGTGATAGAGCCATGCTTCAAATGGGTCCGTTTGTCCGGAATGCGGACTTACGTTGTGTTTCGCAGTGGGACGAGAGTTTTGTGAGGTTCAAATCCCCTATCCGTAAATTCCTAATAACCCAGAATAGGCCAACAAAGCACTTGCAATAATTCCTTTGGTACTACGAGTGTCCATAGGCGGCGCCGATTGCTCACCATCAGGTAGTCCATCAGCTGGTTTTCCAGCTTATGACTTAAAAAGTATCGTAAAGAAATGTTAAAGGATTGTAAAGATTCTCGACTAGTTTCAAGCCATGCTAGAGGCCCATATTCATGAGCAGCATTCCGCGACACGCGACGGTCGCCGAGTCGATGAATGCTGGCAAATACTCTTGAAATAATTGCATTTTTATAATAGGCAAATAGGTAGAAACGATTTATTAAATTATTTTCTTACTTGTCGATATAATAATATTGAAACTATTATCGTAAATGTAACCACGTTAATTACAATATTATCTTGTTAAAGAATCTTTACAATCTATTATGTTTTCGGCTTACTCACGTAATAATTTGACGAGATACTCGACTAGTTTCAAGCCATGCTAGAGGCCCATATTCATGAGCAGCATTCCGCGACACGCGACGGTCGCCGAGTCGATGAATGCTGGCAAATACTCTTGAAATAATTGCATTTTTATAATAGGCAAATAGGTAGAAACGATTTATTAAATTATTTTCTTACTTGTCGATATAATAATATTGAAACTATTATCGTAAATGTAACCACGTTAATTACAATATTATCTTGTTAAAGAATCTTTACAATCTATTATGTTTTCGGCTTACTCACGTAATCATTTGACGAGATACTCGACTAGTTTCAAGCCATGCTAGAGGCCCATATTCATGAGCAGCATTCCGCGACACGCGACGGTCGCCGAGTCGTATTATTTCAAGAGTATTTGCCAGCATTCATTGACACCAAAGTTCTTTATGACCTTTGAGCTTGAAAATTCCATTACAAATTCTCACAATTTATTGCCGAATAAAATGTAGTCTAGATAGAGTAAAATCCAGAGCTGCTAGTGAAAAATATGTAACGCAATTTTCTATATGACTGACTTTTTTATAAAGAAAATTGACAAATGGAGATGTTTGTGCTCACGTAATTACAGCACAAAGATTTGATTATCTTCTAAATCAGTAAGTGTGGGAGAGCCAAGCTTCGGCACGAATGGGTCGGCTCGACCGGAGTGATACTACGGCCTCACAGAATACCGTCGTGAAACAACCCACAGCGTTGTGTTTCGCCGTGTGAGTGAGGTTACCGGAGGCCCAATCCCTCCCCTTCCCAATCCTTATATCCGCAACCTCTATCCCCAAAAGGCTGGCAACGCACTCGTAATTCCTTTGGTGTTGCTGGTGTCCATGGGCGGCGCCGATTGCTTACCATCAGGTAATCCGTCTGCTCGTTTGCCGACATATACCATAAAAAAAAATCAAGACACTCAAGTTGTCACACAACTACAACACGAGTAGCTGATTTGGCGGAAGCTGTATAAAACCTAACTTTTAAAATTTCTACACTGTAACAAATATTTTTCTTCGGAAACAATTGTGAGGAATTAATACGTAATTTAAAAGGAACAGTGTCGACAAAAACTTATTAATGTATATAAAACTACATAATTTAAGGAGAAAAACGTAGACTACAAAGCTACGTTTTTCTGGTTTTTCTCAGCTTTTACTAATGCAAGGACACAACATTTGAACTCTCAACATTCAGTAGAAGAAAAAATATAATTCCTAAAAATGTCTTTGTTATTTTTCAAACACTTCTATTGATAGCCTATTGATATCCGCAAATAAACTATTTGAAATAATAGCAATTTTTTTCAATGACAACAATTTGTTGCGCTATCGTGTCCACGCGTATTTATTCAACCGTGAAATTATCGAACGTGAATTTGTATTCAATTACCTAAAAACTAGGATATTTTTGTCACTTTCTGCAGTTATCAAAAAACGACGAATACATAATAACACTTGTAGCAATAAAGCGAACATGAATTATTATGTAGCATACGTAACTGACAATATAATTATGTTATAATTGAGTTATTGGATCGCTGAAAATGCTGAAGTGACAGATATATTTTTAATAGCTTCTGCCCGCCAATTTATTCGCGTGGAATAGATTGATAAAACGTACTATATACATATACATACTTAGTCCTTTTTCGAGTTCCAAACTATGCCGGTACTAAATTTCACACAAAGTGGTACAGTAGTTTAGGTGTGAAAAAAAGACAAACAGACAGAGCCGTATAAGTTTAGATTTTATAGCCCTGACTAATTGATGTGTCAATTGCATTGGCTATTTTTGTTGATTTGAATGGTTGACAAAAACGGCTTTCTTCTAGGTAATAGCTTGTAGTAAAAATTTCAAGTTTGAAATGCTTTGCTTCGGTACGAACAGTCGGCTTGACCGAAGCGACCCTCACAGAATACCGACTTGAAACAATTACAGCGTTTTGTTTTATCGTCTCATTGAGGTTTCCGAAGGATCTAGTCATATAACAACAAGCAAAAGGTCTACAACGGACATGTGATGCGGTTGTTCATAGAAGACGAAAATTACTAACCATCAGATGACAAATACGATCGTTTGCCGACCATTACCATAAAAAAATACTGGTATGAGCTGATACGAAGCTTTAACTAGATCTGACTGAATGTCAGAACAAATATTGTAAATTTTCCAACTAACTTAAACTATCAATCGAATTTCACGCGCAATAATTTACTGCGGCCCCGGCCTAGAGCAGGAGAAATAACTGGTTGGTTTTTAGTCAGTAAGAATCTGAGACTAGCTCTTTTCCCTCTCAGACGGGGAGAAGTCAATCGAGAATTTTCACCGCGCAAAGAAAAAAAAACGCAATTCCTTATTAACCTCTTAATTATGGTAATTCGAGATACATATAACAAGACAATACGCGCGAACGCCGGCGTTTGCTTGGGGTTTGATGATTTGACCAAAATGTTTCGAAAACAAAATCTAAAGACTGGGTTTAGTAACTATTCAATGATAAGTAAATTACTCTGAGAATGGAGGTTACACTTCTTTATACCTCTGAAGGTTTAAATCAAGCAGACCTAAATAACGTTCTTTTCTCTCCCCAGGTGGTGGCCCGTCGTTCAGACTTGAAGCTCATCGTGACATCAGCTACGATGGACTCCACAAAGTTCTCCACGTTCTTCGGCAACGTGCCCACTTTCACCATTCCCGGCAGAACGTTCCCAGTCGAGACATTCTTTGCTAAGAATGTCTGTGAAGATTATGTCGATGGTGCCGTTAAACAGGTATGTTCTTTGAACTTTATTAATGTATACAAAAGGTCGTAATTCCTCGGATTTTCGGAATGCATTCGTCATTTCGTGATGCTAATAATGTTGCAGGTGACAATTTACGAAAAGATATAGGGAAGTTTTATTGCTACCGTGACTATCAAGATCAAAGTCAGATGGTCTTCTTAAATAATGAATAAACTGATCCTGTTAATACAGGATTCTTAACCGGCGAATGTTTCTTGTTTGTCGATTAAAATGTTAAATATGCTGTGGTTGTTTTAAGTGATGCAAGACATGCTGCCTTGCATTGTACCTACTTAAATAAAGTCAAAGTCAAAATCATTTAATCCAACTAAACCATAAATAAACTATTGAAACGTCAAAATAGAATAGTAGTCTGTCAGTGAAGCTATGTGGTCGTTCCAAATTGTAGATTCGAATGGAGAACGAGCAAAAAAACTCCATAAAAATCGGTAGTAGCATGAAGGTGTTCAAAAATACTAACAGATCTTTATATCATAGTGGTGATAATTCCAAAAGTTTTTCCTAAAATGCTATTTTCCGATCAAGGATTCTATTTAATATTTATTTTGTTATCGGTCTTGCAAACGATTTGTCAACGCCGAGCCTTTATGAATTTACAATGACAACAATCGTTTATACTTTCTTCATTAACTTGTCTGTTGTTGGCCTTTGCTGTCGTGGAAAATGGTTTGTTTACTTCTTGTCACCTCTGGCTAACTTTTCCTCAATAAATAAGGTGGCATCGCGTGACCAGACACTCTATTACAATAAATTGCTACATTGGCATGCCATTTTTCAATTGGACCGTTTTTGCGAATATTTCCAAATTATTTTCCTGAGTAGCAGTGTATTTAATTGACGCAACAAAATTAAATTAAGGACTAAATTTTCAAATTGATAGTTTTTTTGAGATGGTGAAAATCATCACGTATCTTCCTTCGCCCAGGATAAGGCGAGAGAATGTCAGACTCTTACTCTTCCTGACAAACCAACCCATTACTTCTCCTACTCCTGACCTAGCTCCTGACCCCGGCAGCCCTGGCAAAGTTATGGTTTAATGTTCATTAATTTATGGGTTTCTGGACCCTTTGTATGGCCGTCATTAAATGAAGCCGTAAGTCATATATCACATAATAAAACTCGATAAAACATGGCGTTACAAAAGCTAGCAAAAAAATAATGCTCGTTGACACAAATCGTGTTCGTTAACCCTTTAAATATTTTGAATTGACTTGATTGAGAATTAACTGTCGAGGTTGTGACGTTTAAATACGTCTGTTGCCAACCCAATCTATTTTTCTTTGCAAATAACTTGTAATATTCTTGCCTGTACCTACATTAGGGATTGTATTTAGGGACACGTTTGTCAAACAACACCACTGCAATATTACACTAAAAAATTAAACATTAATAAAATACATAATCATTTAAGAAAGTACTTACCAATTCTACATTCTCATAAAAGCGTAAAAATGGAAACTTAAACTTAAAAATGGAAACGCTTGGGCACGAATTGGCCGGGTCGACCGGAGTGATACAACGGCCTCACAGAAAACCGGCGTGAAGCGATAATTACGTTGTGTTTCGCTGCGTGAATAGGGTTACTCAAGCCCCTATCTTTCCCCCTCCCCCTCATGTTCAAACCTCTTAAATCCCTAATAACCCACTAATAGCCAACCCAGAATGTCCATGGGCGGCGCTGATCGCTTACTTCAGGTAATCCGTCAATTCGTTTGCTGACTTATGACATAGAAAAAAGTATCTCTAAGATCTTTTTTTCCGCTTTTAAACATACATAACAGTTACACAACAGCTTCAAACAAAGTGACCAATAATCAAGAGATAAATAAACTCTGATCGTCAATAACTCTATTAATCTTACAATTACGAACTGCTAATAACAACCATCCGTTACCCGTAAGTATAACAATTACGCGTCATTTATTCAATTACAATAATTATTCATAAGCTTAAGTAACGCTAGCTTCCTCAAATGAAACTACAGCAAAAAATAACACAATCAAACTCCATAATTGGTGAAGATCGGCTATTGCAATCGTAATTGTAAGGAAACAGATAATAGTGGTTTTATTTTCACAATTCATCGATTCATTGTTACATTTCTAAATGAGATGAGAGTAAATCTAGATGACACAGAATGACTAGCTAATCCTCATCATCATCATCAGCCTGATGCTTTAGGTGGACAAAGTACTGTTGTAGTTGCTGGCAGTCCAGGTGTATTCGTTCTTTCTTTCCTTCATTCATTTTTCTTTCATTCTTTCATTCTTTCTTTCTTTCTGAGATCGGTGTAAAGAAACACTTTCGGAGGCCCAATTCTTTCCCCATCCTTAATCCTCAAATCCCCTTTCCTTAAATCTCTAATAACCCACCAGAACCCGGCACGCACTTATAGTAACTCCTTTGGTACTACGAGTGTCCATGGGCGACGCTGATTGCTTACCATCAGGTAAGCTAAATCTACGGTCTATTTCATATAATGCGTAAACAAAGAAACTAGGTCATAGCCATAAAAGATTATAAGTAAATAAAATCGACCTAAATGCAAATAGTTCACAAACTACATACCTATGTAGCTTATCACAAGCGTTGCGAATTGTTAGAATGCCACTTACTGCAAGACTGCGCCTGCGCTGCTTAGTGTTACCATGTATTTTTATATTTTTTTACAAACTTATATAAAAAAATACATTATACCAAAGTCATTTATTCCAACTAAACCATAAATACTACTAAAGTACTTTTGAAACGTCAAAATGGAATAGAACTGAATAATGTCAGTCTGTTATAATTATAATATAATTTTCTCATTATTAGTTTGAAATCGCCAACCCACATTGAGCAAGCGTGATGATTAATGCTCAAACCTTCTCCGTGTGAGAAGAGGCCTTTGCTCAGCAGTGGGCACTTAGAGGCTGATGATGAAAATAATAATACTAAACTGCGAATCTGTCTACACATGTCACTTTTTATATTGCCCAGAAAAATATAATGTACACAATTTTTTTCTAATAACAGTTGTGCCTACCGATATACGATATAGTACATATCGTACTCTTCGGAATCATTTGAAAATCCTTGAATATTCCCTAAATTTAAATGTAAACCCAACAATGCGACAAATAAATAAAGCTCAAACATAATTTAGAATTCCTTTGTTGTCTACCAAAGCAAAGGTTTTAGGCTGAAAATAAATAATGTACCACAAAACTTCGGTTCAAGAACCAGTCCCTAAATGTTCCATTTGTAACAGTTGACCCCTTACGTTAAAAACCTCAAACTAAGTTACAAGGTAGCTGGCTACCCCTCTTTAGGTACTCATTAATTTTATGAATATCGAAATGATCGTTGAAGTATTTTCGATAGTTCAGGGAGGACAAACCAATATTTTATACTGTGGCTGCTGATCATAAATGTGTTACCATACAGCGTTGTGTCTCACCGTGAGATTGAGATTATTGGAGGCGCAATCCTTCGCCTCCCCCGTCCCTCCTCAAATATCCTAAATCCTAATCCCCAAAACGCAGTCAACGCATTCGTAAATTCTATGCTGTTGCGGGTGTCCATGTGCGACGCCGATTGCTTAACATCAGGTAATCCGATTGCTCGTTTACCGACCTATCACATAAAAAAACAGTGTAAAAGTTTTTATTTTATATGTATAATAATACTCACTTTTAATAGCAAATAAGCAAACGAGTCGGTGATGGTCAGCTTTACTGTAGCCTAAGTACAAATACAGAACTTAAAACGTTTTCTTTTCGCCATCGTTCTACGCTTAAACATTTTCATCCCCATCACATTGATTGGTTGGCAGTCGATAACTGTGCGATTTACCTGAAACTCTCTGTCCACACAGCAAAACTTTGGGCGGCAGTATTACCGAACCAATTTGACTTTCAAACCTTCAAGAAACGAGCCTACTCCTTCTTAACATCATTTGATCCGTCTGCTCTTTTCCCTTCCGTTTTCTTTTCTTCCCTGTTTTGCTCGTTTAAATTACTAAAAAAAATCTGGACGTCACCATTATGTTGATCAGTGACTTGCCCAAAGTCCTGTATTGTTGCAAAGGTTTGCCAAAGGTTGTCCTGGGTACCTATCGCTTCACAAAGATTTAATAATGAATTACTGAAGATTGATACAAATTGGTTCTTTAGAATTAGGCGTCACTTTGCGTCCATTATTTACCGACAATGCTAATGGATTCTTTTACAAAAGTGCTATTAGTAGACTCCGGAAATTGTCGGGTGTCTCCCTCACCTCTAGCCCTCGTTAAGACATTGATCCTTATTCCTGCGCAAAACCTGTCACTGAGAGTGGATCAAACTATGATAAGTGCATTCATTAGTTACATAATTATTCGTATATACTATACACGAGGGAGTGTCAGACTCTTACCGACTAAAAACGACCCCATTCCTTCTCCTGCTCCAGTTCAAGGCCGCGGTACCTGATTGTCCCGGGAAATCTTTAGATAAAGATACATTTTTAACATATTATATAACGTTGTAACCTAGTTTTATAGAAACTCTGCTCAAGATTTTTCCATAGATTTGGGATTGAATCGTTTCGGCCTTATACCCTCTCCAAAAGGCTCAAAATCACATTAGTCAATGAACATAAAATATTGTTCCTATATAATAAATAAACAAATATAACATAAATCCTGTGATCACTTCTTCCTGTACACACAAGGCTGTCTGGTAGATATCACTTATTATTCTTCGTGACACAATGTACCCTTGGTCACTGATTTATATATAAATACATTGCTTGTTTACTTAATTTAATAAAAAGATGGTTGATGACGCTAGAAAGAATGCATTTTCTACCCTACTCTACTCTTCCCTTGAGTCGAAATAAGTCGCCTAAGTGATTCCATACATTGACAGAGACCTGGCAACGCAGGTTTTTCTAATAATTAACTTAAACATTACACTTTTCTCTTCATCTTTCTGATTAGTTTA